CTGTTTGACGAGATTCCGCCGAAGTTGCCAAGAAAAATATTATTTCGTACTCGTCATGCAACAATGAGGCACATCGAGACCGCGTCATTTCAATATTCTGAAAAATAATTCGCCCGTCTGTCATTTCCAACGGACAATTCCAAATGGCGGCAGTTAATAATATTTCACGAGTATTACGGTGAAGGGGCGGAAATTAAAATACCATGCCGGAATTTAAAGCTCGGCTTAGCGAAAGAGTGGCTTGATTGATACGAACGGTAAAGAGGTGGTTTGCCATTCCATTTTCAGCCGCCTGTTCAACCTGGCTTTACGAAATTCAATTACCATTCAGAGAATTATCTCCTTCTTTTCCTTTCGGTACTTCCACAGCCACTACATGGCCACGATTTGTATTTACTCTCATCTCATTTGTAGTGGTTTATGGAAACATCGAACCTCTCGAAAACATTTTTTTTCGAACACTATTATTTCAGTGGAGAAAATATCATTTCATTTAGAATATCAGTAGAATAGAGCATCCATTTCTTCTCGAAGCAGTTACCGATAAAATACTGGTTCGATTGTTACTTGAAAATGCTCTAACAAATAATAAATTTAGTAGAAACTAGACAAAAGTTATTTTCTTTATTTTATATTCAAACCGATAAAATACTTTACAAGTCTGGAAACTTCATTTAACGTATGAGCTGATGTCCAATTTCAACAACAGAAAACAGGGTAAATGAAGAGGGATTCTTTTGATTTCCAAGCGTTCCAAAAGACTGAGTTTAAAACATTTCTCTCACACTGAAGTTTTGTCTTTATTATTTTCAATATATTTGCTCAAATTCTCATTTTATCTGTAGGCCACATACAAGTTTTTGTTTTTCAGAAAACAAAATATATAATTGTGGATTCACCAGAAAATTAAAAACAATAAGGAAAACAATGAATCAGGTCTATCAAACTTTGAAAAATGGTGGAAATCGTCATAGAAAATTGACATATTTTGATGAACCCACCAATAATATCGCTCGGTTTTTGAAAAAAGAAGGTCTTGGACTTGGTCTACAGAATAATCAATAATTCAAGCAAATTTATTAATAACAATAAAGACAAAAGTTTACAAAAATGTAGGATAGATCAGGACTGTATAAATTGGCCTGTGGTTCTTGCTCAAAATTGTAAGTACGGCGTGAACCTTCTCCAAAAGAGTAAAAGATCATAGCAGTAGTTTGTTGAATATGAAAACCAATTCCACATTTGCAAAACATCTTTTGACAGAGTAACAATAGTTCAACCGTGATTATGACGTGTTACATCTGGAAAAGAAGGGCTTCAAACTGAATCTTTCGGAATGCTTGAAAATCAATAGTTTTAAGAATTCGGGAAATTCGCTGAAGGACCAAGTAGAATAATTTCCCCATTATTGAATATGTTTTCTCATGTTGAAATTGGTAATTAGTTCATACTTGAACTCAGGGAAAATTATTAGTCATTAAATGAGTTGAAGGTTATAATTCAATTTACTGATTCACATAAAGCACTAATTAGGTAGAACTCAGTTATTATGAACACGCCTGAGGAGGCTTTTGTAAAATGAAACACGTGCTGCGTTTTTGTGAACTGTTTAGTGAAAATCTCACAACGAATTGTTACGGCTACGTTATGGATTTCAATCAAGTATTCCATCATATATTCAAACTATTTTTATTTCTCCCACCGACAAGAAATTATCGATTTTTTCAACTTGATGCATTTTCGTCTGTTTTGCTTCTGTCTTATGTTCGATTTTTCTTGTCCGAGGAAAGTAATATTTCAGTTTGGAATCGTTTAACCGGCGAAGAAAATAAAATTCATTACTGACGAAGCGTTTCCTTAATGCACAGAATGGAACTTTCTGAAGCCGAATGATTTAGAATGGGAATTTCATTGAATTTATTCGCGACCACGTCTTAAAACCGTTGAAGAACGGCAGTCGTTACGTTCTGACCAAATTTACGGCATATAGTAATGAGATTTCATACATTTTGGAATAGGATTCGTTCAAACTTCAACGCAGATATTGGAGAGTAATTCAGGATTCAAAAGTTGATTCGGTTCTTTGAAACTATAAATCACAGTAGATTTTATCAAATATATTTTTTTTATCTTGTTGAAAAGACAGTTATTTCACTTGGTGCACATTTATAAATGTGAGAAACGGCTTTTTGGGAATGTTAATCTAGATTGAAATGTAATTTAGTTGAATTGAATTCAATCGTATCAAACTATATTAAAAAGAATATCATTTACAAACATTCTCTTCACTTCCAATTGAATATTCTGAGTAAAAACACTATAGAGTTCAGTTAAAATTGATAAGGAATCGATTGCCAGCAAAAATACATTTGACCGCCTCCGCCAAAATTTTAAATAGTGCGCCTTCGCCAAAAGTTCAAATAGCATACCTTCACCAAAATTTCAAATGGCGTGCCTTCGCCAAAAGTTCAAATATGGGGCCTTCGCCAAAATTTTAAATGGTGCGCTTTCGCCAAAAAAGTAATTATTGTGCCTTCGCCAAAAATTTCAATTATTCGCCTTCGCCAGAATTTTCAGCCCTGATCGTTCGCCATAATTTTAATCATGATCATTCGCCACCATTTTTACTGCTGCTCACAACAACAAGACCAATTGAACTCGCATAATCCTCACCCAAAATGAATGAAAAATTTAAGTATGTTTGGCCCAATTTGATTTAGGGCCCAATAACACTGCTTTTGTCTGATATTTTTTTTGGAACATTCACAATTTTTGTTGTTTTCAGGCGAATATGCTCGACTCCAAGAATAGAGTTCATTGAACAATCAAAAATTGTTTCAAGAAGTACATATTAATGTCAAAGTTTAAAAACTCCCTATTCTTATTGCTTAACAAAATACGTTCTCTCCAAATTTGAAATTTCGCACCCTAGAAACAACTGAATGTCGCCCTGAACAATGATTTTGTTGTCACCCCGTATGCTTTTTTGCCTAACGAATCATCCTCTATTTCATTAACTCCACCTAGAAGACAGCGGTCGCTTCCCTGCTCATCGGCAATTATCTCGGCGTGAATAAATCAGGTATCGCGTGTGTGAGAACCGTGTCCACCCCTCGTGGACGCGGTGGATGGCACGGGGGGCATCTTCGTCTGCGGCGCTTCGTGGTCGCCGTCGCCGTCGCGGTGCATGACGACGACCTGCCCCGTTTCGAGGGCGCCCGATTATTGCCCTCCGCAATGCCGTAAACATGCTCTTTGAGCTGGGAGTGGATTGGAGTTGATACAGGTTGCTGCAAAACGTTTAATTTTCAACTTTAAAACTAGTTTTCGATCTTATTTCTCGTGCAGGTCTCGCGACGGGTCACGGATATTTCAGCAGCATTCCGTTTCCTAGTTGTTATTCGCATAGCATGGAAACCAGTCTTGAATAATTAATAAACAAAGTTTCATTGATTTTCAATCGAACAGTTTGTTTCGGAATTACATTGTAAGATATAACACTTCTATTTTAATTTGGTCTCCGATACTTTAGTATATACACGTCTGAAGAAGCTATCGTATAGCGAAACAAGTGTTGCGTTTTTGCGTTTAGTAAAAATCTGAAGTGTTTCACAAACAGTTTTCATTTCTAGGCGGATTTCGCTAAAACCGTAGCTTCCTTGGTAAAAATCACTCATTTCTACTGATTTTATGAATAATTTTAAGAAAACATAGTCATATTATGCTGCGTTCACATGATATAAAGACGATAAACTTTCAATATCTTCCTAACTTAAATTCAACGAATACAATCATTTAAACTGTAGAGGCATATGTGAAAGATCAGTCAAAATGTAACATCCAAAAGAGTTATTCAATATAACGTTTTATATTTGTAAGCTCATTATCAACCAAATAACTATTAATAAACTTTTCTATAACTGTCCTAGTCGATTTGATAAAAAGAGTCAACACATTTTATTTCAGTTCACTTTTGGGCTTTAAGGGGTTCATAATATGAATCTGACACAGAAAATGTAATTTTTTGCAACCTGTCAAAGTAGTGGGATGACGAAAGTATTTTGATCGTTTCTAATTGAACTTTCTGCAGTTGTTGTTGAATATTAATAGTAATAGAGAGGGAGAAAATAGCAACTTGTGTAATTTAGTGATGTTTTTCGTGAGCGATGACAAAATACAAGTCCGCTAAACCGTGACGATTTTGTATGGGTGGCCAGATGCCAAATCCCGAAATAAATGCCAAGAAAGCCGTACTATGAAGATTTCACAAAAATAGAACCTAAAAATAGTCGTAGTGTTCATATGATTTCGGCTATTGAAAGATAACTATGCAGGTAAATACCAGCGAGACAAGACGTGGAACTTGAACCACTTGTCGAGGCATGACGAAAATCTAAAGAAAATTTCATCATTTCTGATGAAATACTGCCATTAAGAAAATGAGATATTGGCCTTGTCTACCTGGAAGGCGAACATACTGATTATCCTCATATAATCATTTCATTAACGGTTCATTAACATACCGATTCCGTTTATTTTAATGGGTTCAATGTAAATTAATTGTTTAGGCATTACCTATATTCAATAGTCCTTTAATGATTGATATAGCCACAAATAAGGATTATTTCCATTTCAAATCAATTTATCAGATGAATCCTGAAGAACTATTTCTAAAAACTGGCCATTTCAAGTATAGTTCACAATTTATAATATTTTTTCAAGTGTTTGTAACAACTGAAAAACTGTAGAGTACGATTTTGTGCAATATACTTAATAATACATAATGACAAATATATTTTCAATACATTTTACAAAAGGTCACATCAAGAATATTAATAATAAATGGCCTTCATTCATATAAATTGATGTTTTTGGTTTTCCGAATTTTGTCAATTGATAACGGCCATCTTATTGAAGCTACATCTGACTTAAGACACGCCCGAAGAAGTTAGTTATCTTAACTACTGAGATTTATATTCTGAGCTAGCTGCAGTTATCAAAAAAAATGTCAAAATCGATTTTGGCATATATAGTGACATCGTCGTCATCCTTCAAAAATATCGGCAGAAAATTATACGCGAATCAACGAAAAATGCAACAACTTCACTGCTGCGCCCCGCAAAAATTCAAACCTGTGACCCACGTCATTTTCGATTTGGACGGCACGATTCTAGGTGAGTCAGTCAAATTTGACAATGTTTCGCCTAATCGAAAACGTGTGCCCGAAACATGTTTCAGACACGGAGGGCATTTATATGTCGGCGATTGCTGAAATAGGTGCCGAGTATGGAAAAAAATTTACCGACGCTCTGAGGAACCAAGTAGCAGGATCCAAGGAGCAGGATACTGCTTCAATAGTGGTCCGAGAGATGGGATTGCCGATGTCTTGGGAAGAGTTTTTGAAGGCATTCAGAGCAAAGTGCGACAGTCAGTTGCCGGATGCAGAGTTCCTGCCAGGTAAGATTAGATACTTTCTAAGGTTATTATTGTCACCGCTGATATTGTTTCAGGCGTGGTCAAGATGATAAAACATCTCCATAGTCATAATATTCCGATTGCGGTGGCAACTTCATCGCCCCAGGACGCTGTCGACTTGAAATCTACCAACAAAAAAAACATTTTCGATCTGTTCAGCCATATAGTTTGCGGGAGCTCCGATCCAGAAGTCAAACAGGGAAAACCCGCCCCGGATATATTTCTAATATGCGCTTCAAGGTTTGTTGACGAGGACACCGCCAAACCGTTTGGATTTTTAATTGTTCACAGGAAATTGAACGTTCGAAATTTTTACGGCTAGTTTCTTGACCGTCGAAATGTTACGGCTTCTAATAATTCTTAATTTTAAATGTGGTTCCATCAATTCTGGAACATACGAGCGGAAAAAATGTTGCCAAGAAAACGATCGTAAAATGTGCTTGAATTGCACAATTAAAATCCACAACATGAATGTGGAGAATAAAATGTCGGAAATCAATTCGGAATTTCCAAATATGGCAGATTTCCAAATTTCGAATATGATGATTCTCTTATCGTTCTCATATTAGTCAGTTTGTCAGAATAAAACGTGTATTTGTATGTATTTGTAGGTTTCCTGATAAACCAGACCCCTCGAAATGCCTCGTATTTGAAGATGCCATCAATGGCGTGCAAGGAGCTCTGAAGGCGGGTATGCAGGTATACCTTTCAATATCAGCTAGTTTTAGGTGTATCAAATAACATTTCGCAGGTTGTCATGATCCCCGACAAAAGTGTGAGCTACGAATTCTGGAAAGACGCCACTCTGAGACTGGACAGTATGGAATCGATGGTACCAGAGTTTTTCGGGTTGCCACCCTTCGACAAAAATAATTCAGACGCCTCATTTGACTCTACAAACGTGACTAAAATGAACACAACAGAAGAGTGATTTAAAAATAGTATTAAAATCATATCGTTTCAATTTGGTCAGTTTTCTAACGGTCTAATTAGACATTTTCACACCTGAGTACATCAGATTATTGATGAAAATATGTTTCATTGATATAAAAGACAAATATTCAATATATACTATAATTATCACGAATAAAAAATTGTGTTTTAGTTATTTTTATCAAAAAAAAAATGTGATTTCAAGATCTCCATTCCTTTAAATCTCTAATGTTTTATATATTTCTTTAAGAACAAATCACAAGCACTACAGGTCTTGATTCCCCATTTTTTTCGATTACATTATTCCAAATATGGGTGACATACGATCAAAGGTCGCCTGTTGATCTTTATTTTCGAAAGCCATATTGTTGATCGCTCAAGATGTTGAGGCCTTCCAAATCTTTCAGGATATTGTGGTTTACGGCTTTCTCAATTTTTGATATCATTTATAGCAAAGCGACTAGTCTATAGTTTTTGGAAGATTTTTCTTGTCCTTTTATTGGTTTTTGATAATTTCGATACCTTCAACCGTGTTTCAAACTCATATTCCTGAAATAAAATCCAACCTTTGCCAAGCTGTTCCATGTTTTGTCATTCAGCTTGCAACAAATATTGCATCTTTTTTTGACAAACGAATAAAAAGAGCAAGAGTATTCAGAAAGTTTTCTACCGGTACAGGAAACCCAACGTATTAACAATAACAATGAATCTTCTTCGTACAAAAGCACTTTGTGTTCTGTTATGTCCGTAGAAAATGTTAATTTGTTTGCGTGCTTTCTTCAACATTCTAACGATTCGAAGTAAAATCATTCGAAAAGTTTTAATGTATTCCACTCGGAGGCATTTGCTCGAATGCTTTTCAACTGAGGAAGAATTAGAATGACGAAATTATGCATCAAGGACAAGATACTCGAACGAAATTGCTTTATTTCCACTTTGACTCGTCGAAACTTCTGTTTGGAATTAATTTTTGGGATTCCTTAGACGAATCTCTTGTTCTTCGTTACAATTAATTATTATCAAGTTCCTGTTTACGCATCTTTGACTAATAGACGATATCGTTCTCGTCTGGAAGTGAAATCCTCCCGGAGCATTCGACTCCTCTGACGATTCGTTAAAAACCGAGCTGAAACCCTTCGGGATGTCAGGAATGAAGAATCGGCTGCGTAAAAAATATTTTCAGCGGGGCTACAAAATAATGCAAATGAAAGCTACGCGCTGATAAGGGTTGACAGTGTGTAATAGACACTCGAGTGATACTGGGTAAGCAGATCATTAATATAGCAGCCTGTGTGATAAATTAAAAGTGACATTGATGGTTGAATTAGTCCAATTCGGCAGGTCTCTTCAGATGATATACAGAAGCCATGAAAAAATGTTCATGAAATGTTGAAAGAGTTTACTCTTTAATAGTTGCCTTCAATAATAATTGATGATTTCATGGCAAAATGGTTAAGGCTTTCATCTCCACTGTAACGAACAATATACTTTTCTTTCCAAGTATCATCATGTATGTCTGAAATTTTTACCAATCATCTCTTCATTACCTATTTTATGATTCGAGAATTGATTCATTACTTTCTTCAACTCAAAACAACCCATATATTGTTTTACTTTTTTGTTCATAATACAACACAGTTCTTGTATACGAACCTACAAATGAACATTACAATAGTCGTGAATAATCTTCTGTAGATAATTTTTGCAATGTCATTCGATAAAATCTCAGAAAGTTCTTGCAATTCTTTCGGAACAGTTTTCCGTTGCCATCAATTCTTATTTTCCTCCTCTCTTAAATATATTGATCGCCATTGTCAGTTTCCTCTTCTGGTTGTGTCAGAGTGCTAGATGTAATTACTTACTTAATTGGCCAGAAAATGTTCTAATGGTGGTTGGCAGATAGATTAAACAGTAACGGTTTCAGAAATTTATAAATTAGACCTCTTAAACTGTTGGTTTCGAATACAAAACAGTGGAAACATCTTTTTGTGGAAATAAAAACGTTATAACTTGAAATATATTGAATGCACTTCTGGTAGCTGCACCCAAGATATTCAAAAACTCAACTAATGTACAATTGAGAACTTGTGATAATATTTTAATTCAATATGTATTGCGAAATATTCCATCAACTTCGTTCACTAAAGTGAATCGATCTGTTTTCATTCAGAAATTGAGAAAGAAACAATAATCCCGATTGAATCGCTTTGTGTAGTATTTTTATTACAAACGGATTCAAGAACCGGCAACAGCAATCTTTTCGGTTTGATTAATACGATTGTCAGGCAGGAAAACTACTTCGAGTTATTAATGCCCCAATTTACTAATACAATCGATAAATCTAAGCCCCGATGTTGATGCTTCGACGCGGAGAGAAATATAAAAGTGAGGGTTTCTTTGAAGCTTGACATTTCGTCTTCAGAAGAGGAATTCAAACAAAGTACCAGGATTTAAGTATTAGGAAGGAAGACATTTTCGTTATACTCGGACGTTGGTTCATAAAACAGAAAATAAAAAAATTGAATTGGGTTTATGTCATAGGTACTAGTTCATTATTCTGTTTTTATTGCTCAGTTGCCATCTATATAATAGTGTACTGTGCGGGTGTAAAGATCAAAAAAAAGTTTCTAATCAACATAATAATAACATTAATGATTGTTAGATTGCGTGCAGCCAACATTGTTGGATTCCATTCCATTGTCTGGGCATGAAATTTCAGTAAGTTCGTTACAAACGTCTCATTCTATGTCTCACATCTCTAGACATGCTCAATACTTTTTTAGTTGGTATTCCTTGGACCCTCGCTTCAAAAATTCTGTCAATAGTAATTAGCGATACCAATATTTTTTTTTATCACTTAAATTTCTACCATTTGTCCCAAAAGGTCTCAGTTGAATAATTTGTCGTATTCTTTACCGTAGACGTCCTCGATATCTTCGGTGACAAGTTTATGTTGCTTTTTCAACACGAATTTAATGGTTATGATCCTCAAATCAATAATTTTTTAGACTGGTTAGGTATACCTATATAAAAAATGTGCATTTTTGAAGTTATACGTCTTTTGGCGCGAAATTTTTTACGGTGCGCGCGCATATCGATACCCTGAAGTTAGCTTCTTCTTCTTCTTATTTTTTTCATATGTCCGTTGCTTCTCTGTCTAGCGCATTTGACCAGACTCCTCCTGTCCTTAGTGAATAGAAGTTTCGTCCGAGAGCTCGAGCAATCCTGCCCCCTAAGTTTTCAACGATTATTCGAATTTTCTTTAATTTCTATCAAACATAGTATCAAACTTTTGACTTTCATTACTTCTTGACCATATAGCGGGTGTTTCATAAAGTATTTTCCTAATAGATTCACTGTGTCTCAGAAAATATAGTATGTACATGGTGGGTGAAATATTTTATGATATTTGTATGAACCTTTTTTAACTAGATAATGCTTTATAATAAAAATTTCATTGTATTGAATCTACAAACGTAGGTTAAGGCGAAGGATAAAATTTTCAGAAAGATTTTTATCTTGCTACGCCAAAAAAGTATAACTTCTTACGTGCGTACATAAGTACACACTCTTTTTTTACTAATCCTGAAACCCGTCTCACAGGAACAATGCCTTACTCGCCCTGTAGTAACTCTCAAGGTATTGATTTGCCAGTAGGACACAAGTTGACCTGCGAATAGAAAGGACAAAGCGAGATGAAGGGCACAGAGCTTGTTAAACTCTAGATAATCCAATCTGAGAGCTTCCAATTAGTCAAATTCTTTTTATCATCAAAGTCCCGATATGGTGCTAATCCTCGTGAGGTTGGTTATTCGCAAGAAGGTGAAGAATACTTCAGAGCGAGAAATAATTCTGATTTAAATTAGTATCTATCAGGCCAGGTGCCGTTTTTCTCCTATTTATATTTATATATGCGTTTAACTTTGAGGGAGCGAGGAAAATGTAGTTGTCTTCGTTTTTTTTTCGTATTAGAAAGAATTGACCACTGGCATTGACGGATATGAAAACAGTAGTGAAACTTTTGTTGAATATTGACATTTTTTATTGTTTCAGTGGAATTGAAAAAATTGTTTGTGAATGTTACACTAAAAAATATAAGGTTGAAGTACATTATAAATAGTGCAAATAGTGTATAATAACAAAACATTGATAGACGAAACCTATATAAATATCTTTCTCTGCCATTATGTGCCGTTTATATACATATACATTTTCTACAAATATTCAAATTAATTCTGGGTTTTCATTGATAAATCAACATTGCAGACCACATTTAAACTGCCAGTCGTGCCAAAGTTATTTTCACGACAAGTATATATTGATGAATCTCAAGTGTAACAAGCGATTGACATCACCCAAGTAATGTTTTCTATGTTGACGTTGTGTCCAACAGATGATGTTGCAGAACTTTGTCAATTATCCAGTAAAATTTTAATAGAAAATCGCGTGTCTCGCCAAGCATAGAACGATTCCCATAAACAGAAGAAGAATGTTCCTTGGCATTCGTGGTTGGTATGTGCTGCAGGTGTGCCAACCGTTGCATACTAAAAATAGCGAGTAACTAGGTCGTTAAAGTACGCGATATTAAATAAATAAAAGCAGTGTTTTAGTTCAACAGGAAAGCCACAGGAATATTTGATAAGTGTTCAACTTGTAGGTACCACAATTACATCTCGGTCGAATAAATAACGGACGTGGAAAATTGATGTTCGTCCACTCGCTTGGCTTTTAATGTTATTTCGGTTTTGTGTTTGTCAAGAACCTACTAATTAATTGAATTATGTTTGGAAGCTATAATAAATTCTTCAGCCAGTAATTAGAGTTTATCGTCTCAATTCGTTAGATGTTTCCCATCCCATTCAGTTATAACAGGAGTTTCAAATCTTCTTATAGATTCAAAACAATTACAAACCAACAAACTTACTAGGTATATCTTCAAATTCGTAGATTAAAATTATGTATTTCTTCCTGAACCTGCATAATAATAGTCTGAAAATCAAATCCGATAAATTGAAAGTGCAATCAAATTCTGATGCGGTGTAAAAACCATTATTCTCTAGTCTGGGGAGTCATTAGGGTACTTTTTATGGAGTGCCTAATGTTATTTTAATGATATACCGTTCTGTTATTTGTACTAACTCTACGATTTCAGTTATTAATT